AGTCCGATGAATTCATTGGTTCACCAAGCTGGACCTGGTGGAATTTGTCCTTTGGTCTGTTGTTGGTGCCCTTGCTAGGGAGGGGAAGAGTAGACATTTGTTTATATTTCCCCAGAAAAAGTTAACTCAACCCAAGGTGTCAGACCTTAAGGGCATGCTGAGGTACTAAGGTGCCCCCAACTGGCACAGCTCCCATAGACTTTCTGGGTCTTCTCACTGACTTGCTTCCTGACTTTGGGCCCTCCCGCAGTTAATGCTGCTTCTCTGTAACTTCTGTCAACCGTGAGGGTGGGAGACTTCAGTCCACATGACTTTAGAAGGGGAAAAATTGCACATACATATTTATGTTTTAAATTCTATCCTGTAGAGCAAAATGTTTTGAATGTGTTAAAAAAATGAGAGTAATCCAAAGTCATAGAAAAAAACAAAACTTCTTTTGATGGTGAAAAACAGAACAGTGGTTGCCTCTGCAAGGGATACTGGCTTGAAAGAAATGTGAAGATCTCTTCTAGAGTGAAGGAAATATTCAGTGTCCATAGGAGTATATTCACTAAAAACTCACAAGACTCTACAACTAAACTCAATGCAATTCGTTCTATGTACATTAAATGAGACAAACCATATTAGCAAATTCAAAAATTCAAGGGAAATGGCAGTGGGAGAAAACTCAGCAAAGACTTAGATTTCAAAACAGTTTGGTTGCACTTTTCTTGCTTTCGGAGGGCCAGTCTTAGGGGTGGACCTGCCATCAGAGTGCATTGCTTCTAAGGGATACAAAGCCATTTCAATCAATACACAATGATCTATTAGAAACCCAGCGCTTTGCATAAAATAGAGCCTATTAAACAGAGAAAACTGCACATTCAATGGCACACTCAAACAAAAGTCACTTGTATGAGATTGGTATTCATTACTTTATACCAACCACCATTTCCACCAATGGAACGAGTACAATGTTTGGAAATATGGGTGACTCTGCCTATTGCCCATGTCAGCTGACCACCAATTAGTGACTTCACTAAGCAGCAGTAGAAGATTGCCTCAAGACCACTTCCATGTGGCCACAGAAAGGAGAAGGGCTGGAAAGATGATAATTTCTAAAACTGGGTTAGATCACATATTCCCGTGGAGTAGTATGCCGTGTTCTGGCCAGATCAACACACCCTCAGGTGTGGTGTAAGGATGCCAGAACAAATTAGGACACAAGAGTAGAAGTAAAAATTGAATGTCAGGTAAGCAACACATAATGCCGAAATATGTACAAAATAGTTAATATTCTTTAAATACATAGACTATTGTACTCGGGAAACACTTGTAAAGAAGTAATTCTTCTAAATTTTGTTCTTTTAATCTGAAACCCAAATTCAAATTAGCAGCCTATCTGCTTATTGGATAAGCCTGATAACCAAGAAGCACACACTAAAAGGGTAGGTTCTTCTTCAGTGAAAGTCGGAAACAAGTAATGGGAGTTTGTGGTCCTTAAACCTCAGCTTGCATCTGAACCACTGGCAAAGCTTGATAGAACTCAGCTATTAATTTTCTGGGTCACTAGGGCTGGAGTGAAGCCTCCCAGTTTGATTTTTTTTTTGAGACAGGGTTTCTCTGTGGCATTGGAGGTTGTCCTGGAACTAGCTATTGTAGACCAGGCTGGTCTTGAACTCATAGAGATCTGCCTGCCTCTGCCTCCCGAGTGCTGGGATTAAAGGCTTGCGCCACCAACACTCGGCCAGTTTGAATTTTTAATAGTCCTTACAGGCTTATTGATCCTGCTGAATCCAGGAGTCATATCTGAGAACTACAGGTCTGAGGTGACACCACAGGTACATGCAATTGTTGCTGTGTATGCCTGGTATGTACCTTGGTCATTTTAATGCTGCCCCAAACAGTAAACTATGCATTTACTAGGACAACACAGTAAACACCTCCTGTACTGTAAAATAGCATCAATAAGTCACTTATTATTCATGGTTACCTTTAGACATTATGACCATTCTATAGGCAAAGTATTTCCTCTGTGGTGAATGGATTGTGTGTTAGTGAATATAAAATTAAAATCTCATATTCAAGTTAGAATAGAATTAAAATTTCAGTAAACCCATGAAATAGTAATATTAGAGAACCCTTGTTAAATTATATACCAAATAAATATTTAGCAAGTAGCGACTAGGAATTTTATTTATAATATATTCACAACCACAGTATACACAGCCTTCACAGATCTAGGATTTGTGGAGACTCTGGTTGGATGTTTGTGCTATTCATTGACCTAACAAATACCTAAATATTCTAAAGCAAGTTTGAGGCGTGTGTGTGTGTGTGTGTGTGTGTGTGTGTGTGTGTGTGTGTGTGTACATGTGTGTGAAGCCTGAAGGACACCTTGAGTGTCAGTCCTCAGGAGAACTATTTACCTTAAAATAATTTGTTTTTGAGAAAGGGTCTTTTACTAGCCAGGCCTGCACCTATATTAAACTAATAGGCTGGCCAGTGAGCTCCAGGGGTCCACCTGTCTCTGCAGGGATTACAAGCCCATGACCATACCTGGCTTGTTTTTATGTGAGGTCTGTGGAATAAGCACAGGCTGTAAGTACTTTACCAACTGAGCCATCTCTACAGCCAAAGACTGTCATTTTTAGTTGTGTGTAAATGTGTGTGTTATAGTGACCAGTATCATAGGTTCACGGGAGTAAAAGTAGATGATAGTGAAGTCTACTTTTATCATCTACATTTTTGAGGTAGGTCTTTCTAGTCCAGGCTGCTCTGTAGCACATTATGTAACCCAGGCTAAGCCTTTTTCTTTTAAATGTTATTTTACTTTTGAGATTTTTTAATGTAATTACATCATTTCCTGCTTGCCTTTCTTCCCTCCAAACCCTCCCATGTGTTCATCTTCATGCTCTTTCAATTTCATGGCCTCTCTTCTCATTAATTGCTGTTACATGCATATGTGTATGTGTTATATATCTGTTTATTTCTAAGCCTAACCTGTTCAATCTGTATTATGTATTACATTTTCAGGACTGGCCTTTTGGTATTGGATGTGCTCTTCCCTAGGGAAGACTGTTTCCCCTGCTCTCATCATTTCATGGTTACCTGTAGTTCTTTGTGGAGGGTTGAGACCTCATGGTCTTTCCCCCATCCACGCTGGAATGTCTATTATTGTTGTTCTTGTTCAGCTCATCTATATTTAGGCAGTCATGTTGGTGGGACTTTATGAGAATAGGTTCTAACATTACTAAGAGACACAGCATCACAGCAAACTCCCTGATCCTCTAGTTCTTAAGATCTTTCCACCCCTTTTCTGCAATGTTCCCCGAGGCTTAGGTGCAGGAGTTGTTTTGTAGATCTAGCCTCTGGAACTGAGCTCCACAACTCTGTGCTTTGATTGGTTGTGGTTTAGCAGTCCCAGTCTATTGCAAAAAGAAGTTTTCTTCATGAGGGATGAGAACTGCCCTTATCTGTGGGTTTAAGGACAAATACTTAGGATGTAGTTAGGGAGTATGCTGATTTAGTAAAATAGAGGTTCAGGTTCTCCTCTAAGATCCATGACTTCCTTAGCCCTGGGTAGTCAGCTGCATTCCCAGTACCAGACACAGTTTACCTCAGGGTGAGCAGGTCCTAAATCCAACTAGAAATTGCTGTTGGTTACCACCGAGGTGTGTGTACCACTACTGCACCCTTAAGGTTATTGTGCTATGACAGTCATTGTTGTGGTTCATGGGCACCAAAGCTGGGTAGGACTGTTGATTGGTTCCTTCCTTTGTAAGCTTACATGTATCAGGGGGATGCTTTCTGGTATCAGGGAGAAGGCATTCAGGTCAGTTCCAGATCAGGGTTCTCTGGGCCCTTTGTTTGAAGTGTGTGGTATCTTCAGCAATAGGAATTTACCTTCTACTTCTGGGTGGGGGGCAGGGACCAGGGGACACAGCAAGAACCTGTATGGTTTGGGAGTCTCTTAGACCACCACGACCAACAACTCAAAAGAGGTCTTCTCATGACTGACATTGGGCTTTTGTTAGATGGTCTTTTGCTCTTGAAGGGACCATTGTCAGCCCAGATGAGAATATTTCATTTAAAAATATAAATGCCACATATGTTAATATATCTGTATATTTATTCACACAGACATAGATGTATTATAGATTTCTTTTTAAGTAGATAGTTCAGAGTATGATTCTTTATGACTTTTTTCAGACACCCTTACTATTATTTTACCCTTCTCCCTCCTTCTGTATTTATCTCCCTTCCCCAACCTAAGTATAGCCTGCCCTTTCCCATTTGCCCAATCAGATCATTTGTATCTGCTATTGCCCTTTCCATTGCCCCTCTATCTTTCACCCCAGCAATGGCCTCTTTTTACTTTCTTGGTTTCTGAGGTTACTCCAGGATATGTACTCATATCTATAGATTTGGAGCTAGGAGCCTCTGATGAAACAATACATACAATGCTTGTTTTCCTGGGTCTGGGTTATTTCACTCAATATGATCTTTTCTAGTTCCATCCATTTACTGGGCTAGACCTTGGAGAGGAATCAAGATTGTCAATTAAAAAAATCACCCCTCTCCACTCTTTTTCCATGTTTCTTTTCCTTTAAAACAAGACAAACAATAGCAGTATGTGTACACGTGTGTGTGTGTGTGTGTGTGTGTGTGTGTGTTTATGTTACTGTGTATATGTGTGTGTGATTGTGTATGTATGTGTACATATGTGTATATATGCATTGTGTGATTGTGTATGTGTGTATATATGTGGATGTATGTATATGCTTGTGGTGTGTGCGTGACTTTGTATGTGTGTTTATGTGTGTCTGTGTATGAATGTGTGCACATCAGTGCACATGTATGGAGGCCAGAGGACAGCATCATGGTGTCAGCTCTCCCTTTCACCTTTATGTGGGTTTGGGGGGTTGAAATTGGGCCATCAGGCTTGCACCGAGAGCACTTTACCTGCTGAGCTATCTCACAACCCCATCACTCTTCTGTTCTCTCATACAAGTTGCTTAGTTGAGAAGCACCATGGACAGCACAGTGGCATGCCTGGGACATTCAGGAGGAGCTGGTAATAATACATATGCCACAGCACAGAGTGTACGGACTGCACTTCTCTAACAGGTGATGACTGTGGAGTTTTTTTTTTTCTTTTGTTGTTTGTTTCTTTTAACATACTGGTATCATTTTATCCAACATTATGGTACCAAAGGCCCCAATTTGGTGTGGCCCCCAGGGCTGTGGAAGATGCTACAAATTGCTCTGTAAGAATTATGCAGCTTCCACAGATGCAGTGACCCACAGCCAAGCTCTGGGCTGAGCTTCTGGAATTCAACTAAAGAGAGGGAGGAGGGATCATATGAGCAAGGAGAGTCGAGATCATGATGGGGAAACCACACAGAGAGCTGACCTGAGCTAGTGAAAGTTCACTGACTATGGACTGACAGATGGGGAGCCTGCATAGGACTGAACTAGGCCCTCTGAATGTGGGTGACAATTATGTGGCTTGATCTGTTGGGGGTAGGGGCTGGCAGTGGGCCAGAAGATATCCTGGGTGCATGAACTGGCTTTTGGAGCCCAATCCCTAGGGTGGGATACCTTGTTCAGCCTTGATGCAGGGGCTGGGGTGGGGAAGGCTTGGTCCTGCCTCAACTTGATATGCCAGACTTTGTTGATTCCCCAAAGGAGGCCTTACCCACTCTGGGGCTGGGATGGGAGGGAGGTGGGAGGTTGGCAGAAGGGGAGGGAGGAGGAACTGGGGTTGGTATATAAAATGAAAAAGAAAATTGTTTAAAAAGTATGCAGCTTCCAAAGCATGTTGCAAATTTCATTGCCTCTGAGGACTGTGCTGGAGGTATTTACCCCTGTGACAAACTTCACCTTTGAAGTTGGTCATGTACTCATGTGATTTATAGTCCTCCAGGGTCTCAAACATGCTCCATGGAACTCTCTCTCATTCACCAAGGCCTTCTTCTCTGTAATGAAGTTCCTCTTGTTCACCGTGCCCAAGAATGTGGAGTGGAACAATGGTGCTTGCTGTGGAAGTAAAGAGTACAATTCTTGGGCTGCTGTGATGACTAGGAGGGTAAAGGCTTGCCACCAAGCCTAATGATGCGAGTTCAATCCCCAGAGCCCACATGGTGTACTACAGTATGCATATGACCAAAGACATACACTAAATAAATGTGAAAACATAAAACAATTCCTTTAAAGTAAAAGTCTCCCTGTTATCACCATGATGTGTGCCATCATCTTGAGAGGCTGAATTTGTTCCTACCTTGAATTTTTCTAATCACAGAAACCAGGACTTTTGCAAAAGAGAAAGAATTTATTAATGAGGAAGTCAAATATCGGAGATAGGAGCCCCAAGTCTCAAATCTAGTATTTATGAGATAAATAGCATGGTTGGAGGAACAGGAAAAGGAGACTGAAGGTAAGGAAAAAATGGAGTGATCTGTGGCTCTTGCCAGGATGCATGTGGGGCCAACGGTGACATTAGTATGCTTTAGGAGTGAAGGCTTTGGCATTCTGATGGCAAAGGTCATTCACCACACACTTCTGTACACCAGAGTGAAGAGTCAGGCACTCCAAATGGTTTGGTTTACTCCCAAGTATCTGAAATCCAGCTTAGAAAGGTGTTAATGCAGAGAAAGGCCAAAGGCAGCATACTGCTGAGCCAGGTGATCTCTCGTGATAGAAGTGAGTTATCTGAATCAAGTGAAACTAGGTTTATTCAGGTTTTCATTGATGCTCTGTATTTTCCTCTGTGTGTGTATGTGTGTGTGTTTTGAAGTCATAGAAGGACTTACAGGAGTCAGTTCTCTCCTCCCACCATGTGCAGGATAGTTTTATGTTAACTTCACACAAGCTGGGGTCGTTTGAGAGGAACTGAGAAAATGCCTCCATAAGATAAGGCTGTAGGCAAATCTGTAAGGAATTTTCTTAGTGATTGATGTGGGAGGACTCAGACCATTGTTGGTGGGGTCACCCCTGGGCTGGTGGTCCTGGGTTCTATAAGAAAGCAGACTGAGAAAACGATGGGAAGCAAGCCAGTAAGTAGCACCCTTCCATGGCCACTGCATCAGCTCCTGCCTCCAAGTACCTGCCCTACTTAGTTCCTGTCCTGATTTCCCTCAATGATGGATTACAGTGTGCAAGTGTAAGCTAAATAAACCCTTTCCTCCCCAGCTTGTTTTTGGTCATGATGTTTCATCAGAGCAATAGAAACCTTGACCAAGGCACCCCATGTGGGTGGTCCTGGAGAGAACTCAGGTCATCAGGCTGGGCAGCTAAATTCCTTTACCTGCAGAGTCATCTTGTCAGCCACAGATTCCTGTCTTCCTTCCTTCTTTCCTTCCTTTCTTCCTTCTTTCCTTCCTTCCTTCCTCCCTTCCTTCTCTCTCCTCCCCTTCCCTCCCCCTCCTCTATTTCAATGGAAATGTTTTGGTAAGCATCTGAGCTATTTGACCACTGTTTGGAGATTGCTAATCTATCACACATACACATAAAAACTTAAGGACAGCATCATTAGAAAACTGAATTGTTTGGTGGTACAATGATGTCTATGTTTCCTGAAATAAGGAAAATAATTGAAGGAAGAAGGATTTAATATTTGGTAAGAAATACTAATAACTGTAATACCTGAGTGATAGTTTTTTTTGTGCCTTTGTTTGTTTGATAATTCTAATCAGTAAATAAAGTCTAAGGACTTGGCTGGTATTCCCAACCTCAACACTAATGGTACAGAAAACATTCTCAAATCATGTAACAATTACGTGTGTTTTTTTAAACAAAGGGTTACATAGTTATTAGTTAATCAGCTGGTAATGACTGAGAAAGCTTTGTTGTGTAAGTAGCATCTTGATGTTCCTCTGAATTCACAGGAATGCTGTCAGGCTACTAAAACCTGTAATGTACTTAAGACGTTGAAGCCACCTTTCAAGTGTTATTATCACAAGACCCATTGCTGAAATTCTTTGAGCACATATGCGTGAAACACAGACCTTTTACAAAGGGGAGTTCCTGGAGACATTTTCTGTCATGGTTATGAATAGTTACATAGGTTATCTGCTGAGATTGCAGCTGCTCAGGCTGCCATGTGGAAAATAGGACAGACAAAACAAAGTAACATGTTACACATCCTGGCTCCTCCTGCGTTTCTGAGGAAGCCGTTAAGATCTCCGACTGCCATCTGTACATACTTTTTATGGTAGGTTCTCCCAAAGGCAGGTAATGCAGAAGGCACAGTTAAAGGGTGAAAGTATGCAAGTTTGTGTATTTGTTGCAATGTGTGAACAAGCACAAATGAGATAAACACTTTGGAATTCGGTTCAGAGCATGACTGTGTGGCTTACTGCCAGAGCAGAGATCTCTTGCTTGTAGACTTGAAGGCTTTGGCATGCTTTAGTGACCTAGGGCCTAAATAGTGGAATGTTTGGTCATGTGTCCAGCCATCAGTGGATTGTTGAGCTTTAAGCTCTTGACTGGCACCAAAGGAGGAGGAGGGAAGAAGATGGCCACAAGCTAGGACAAGGATGTACTTTGCACACTAGAGTAGTAAGGGAAGACATGGGTGATGTGCTAAAGTATAGTGGATGCTTACTGTCCTGAATTAGTAGCAATTCTCTCCTGTGGTTGTGAAAAAATTCTTCCTTCCTAGGTTACACTCTGTACAGATTAGATGTGTGTGTGTGTGTGTGTGTGTGTGTGTGTGTGTGTGTTTGTATACACAGGTACATATATGTGGAGGTCAGAGGATATTCATCATGTCAGCAGAAAAACTGGCTATCCAGCAATCCCCAGGGAACTCCCTCTCACTGTCCTCATAGGGCTGGGATTAGAAGCACACAGCACACACTTGGCTTTTATGTGGATTCTGGAGATAGAACCCTGGATATCCTGTTAGTGAGGCAAGTATTGAGCCATCTTTCCAACCCCTTGTTACTCCCTTAGACTGAGGTGTGTCTGAGTTCCTGTAACAGACAGGTACACTGGAGAGGTCAATTTTGACAGAAAGGAGAGAAGCAAATAATGGTTAGCCATCTAGAAAGATAGGTAGGGTCTGGATGTTTCACATGGCAGAGCAGGGAGGAGAGGGGCAGATGGTGGTGATTTGGTTTCCTGGTTAGTGAGGGGCAACAATGCATACTGGACAGGGAGAGAAGGTATGGAACAAGCCTTACTCTTACTAATTTTGCTTGTAGCTCATCTTGATAGAAGGCAGTATCAATTACACAGAAGTTGTTCAAAAAACATTTATTGAGTAAGTATACAAATTCTCCTGGAATATAGATTTGTCTCTGACTGTTTGACTATTGACATAGAGTAAAGTATATTCAATAGTTATTGCAGTTTATTTAGGCAAAAGAAGAAAATCTGTACTACATCAGAGTGCTAAGGAGGAATATTTCATCCCACTAAAGCCTGTATTTAAATGACTTTTTTCTCCATTTAGAAATATGTCTATTGGAGCAATTGTTTTTAAGTTATTCCTTTGTCAACATTGGTCAATAGAAAATAATAAATCTCCCAATTAAGATTTCCAGTAGCTTGACTCTGAGAAAAGATCAGAGTGAGCATCTAATGATTGCTTATAATCACAAAGATCCCAGGGTGCTTTGATTAAATTAATGTTTTCCCCCAGTACAAAGACTTCTCTGCTGTTGTTCTCAACCACTCCTTATAAGCACTTGGATTCTGTGTGGTAACTTCAGGTTTCCTATTCCTCAAAAAAAAGTCTATGTTTTTATTTTTATTTTGTTTTTGTAGTAAAAACATGCAACACTAGATCAATCCTGTAAAAACTACTTTAGTATACATGCTGAGGGGATATAGCGCAGTGTGCTTGCCTAGCAAGCCCCAGGCTTGACCTCCAGCATGGCTTAACAGAAATTAT